AAACAGCGTCCACCGAGATCACATTCGCATGAGTCCGTACCGTATTTGACAATAGACACTCGCCTGCCTTGTACTATTGTATAAGTATTTGGTTGAACTAGTCCGAGTCCCGACTAGTCTCGTACTAGTATTTGGTTGAACTAGTCCGAGTCCCAACTAGTCTCGAGTCTCGAGTATTGACAGACAAAGATAGAAAGACTACGGAATAGTCTAGTTAAAAAAGGACAGAATATATTATTACACAACAAACACGAGTGCGCGTCACGTTACCTTTATGTTCATTAAAATTAGGTTCAAATTCAAATGACTGACAAACTAATGATTTAGGCAAAGACGACCCGAGTTGAGCGCCTAGTAACTACAGTCTACGGCAACAAAATACGAGTACGACGCGTAGGCACAGTGAGACTAGATGGATCAAGTATTTTAAAAGTTGGAATAGGTGCAACCTAGTCTCGTTAAATACTAAGTCCCTGGATCTGTTCTAGTATATACGCTTCATCTCTACTTTAGTAGCGACCATTCCCTGACCCGTGAACATCTTGCATGTGACTCGTGAATTTTCGATAAATTAAAATACAACAGACGCGCAACATGGATCACTGTACAATAAAATAGTGCGGAAATAGTAGCCAAATGTGTAATTAAAAAAAAATGGCATCACTTTTCATAGATAAGTGAATTTTAATTTCCAAATTCATTAATAAATTAAATCAAAGAGCTCAACCTATATCCGTCACAAGCAACTCGCGTTAATTTATTTGGACATCTTCGAATATTTTCGGACTATGCATCCCTTTCTTTTCAATGAAGTTCATTGTTGCTATACTTTTCTTTAATTACCGGCACGTGTAACTAGTGCTGTACCAGTTAAACTATAATATTGGTACAAGTAAATATTATACATGTTATCGTGAATGTTTTACAGACTTATACTATAAGCGACATAGGTGTAAGCTGAATTTTTTTTAGTGAATGTACGTTAATCCATATTTGAATTAATTGATTTTATAATGAAATCAAATTATTCAAAACTTCTTAAAAATAATTCATACTAAAATTGATATAATTTTTAATAGACGGCGCTACGCTCTCTTTACTGCTAAGACACCATGTCAAGACAGGTAAGAAACGGAAGTGAACTTGACAGTATTACATAACTGTTGCCACTTTATTTTTAATAGTATTCTATTATTATTTCATTATTGTAAGGAAAGCTTGTTTTAATAAAAAATATTCTATAAAACAAAAAATTATAGGTATTTTACTAAATGCGATACCTGCTTAAATAAAACTTCTTTTGTTTTTTTTTGTAAATTTGTAGAAGAATATAATTCTGGTACTAATTAAGTAGACTTGGTACCATTAAAGTTACCATCACTATTTGCTTATTAGGAAGTGTCGCAACCTTGATTTTAACCAATTAGCGTGCATTTCAACCCACCTCCCCCCGTACCGCTTACCTAAGACTTTTGACAGACAGGTTTGGATGCAGAAATACATACATTAGGCGTCTATTCGGGCTGTGTAGTCGTTGGTGAAGAATTTAGTGAATAGACAAGCCTGTATGGTGTAATAATTTTGTCTCTCTTAATTGGCGAATCGTAAATAAGGATGCCCTCTTTGAAAATACATCTATATTTTTTTCGATGCAATGCATCGAAAATGTGCATTGATATGTACCAATGCATCGGTTAGAAACACCGATGTTTTTCAAAAATTGAGTACTTTTTCCGACTTATTCCGTTTATTGTATTTGATTGAGCAAAATTATTATTTGTTAGGTTGTTTATTACTGAATTTGTATGATTAGCTTCGCGATTCGATTCTTGAATGATTCAACTAAATATATATATATATATATATATATATATATATATATATATATATATATATATATATATATATATTTTTTTTTATAAACACTCACGCCTGTCACCCAGAGGGGTAGGCAGAAACTACAGACTTCCATTTGGCACGATCCTGACACACCTCTCTTGCCTCCTTCACATCCATACACCTACGCATACATGCTCGTCGGTTAAGGGTACTCCTAATTTGGCCCGTTTTCAATAAATCGCCAATTTGGTCGATTAATTTTCGCCTAGGACGTTCCTTTCCGACTCTGCCATTCACTTCTGCACCATAAATTTTCTTTGTCACTCTTTCCTCATTCATTCTTTCCACATGAGCAAACCACCGAAGCATTCCTTTCTCAATCCTGGTCACAACATCATCTTGTAAACCACACTCTTCTCTTATTACACAATTTCTTACCCTGTCATTCAGGATTCAGCCCTAACATACTCCTTAACGACCGCATTTCTACTGCGTTTTTTGTACTCTCGTGCTTCTTCTGCCACACCCAACTTTCACTACCATACGTTAAAGTAGGGACCAACACAGCATTGTGAATTGCCATACGTGCCTTTTTCGACACATTTTGACTCTTCACAATAGAGTGCAAGGCCCCATTTACTCTATTTCCCGCATTCACTCGTCGTTCTATATCCTTATCATATCTCCCATCCCTGCCAAATACGCAGCCCAAATGTACAAACTCATCTACTTGCTCGATCAACTCCCCTTCTATTCTTATTTCACAAATCTCTTTTCACAATTTCTTCTCTTTCAAAAACCATAACCTTCGTCTTACTTGCGTTCACTTTCATACCCCTTTCTTTTAATGATCCGTTCATTAATGTAACCATAATTTGCAACTCGGCCGCCGACGACGCAAGAATAACTTGATCGTCGGCGTACAAAAGGCATTTGACGGTTAACTCACCCATTCTTAATCCGCATTCTTCAACTTTCAAATTTTGCAAACAACTGTCCATAAATAGGTTGAACAGCCACGGGGAAGCCACACAGCCCTGTCTGACACCTTTATGGATGTCAAACCAGTCCGAGTAGACCCCGTTGATCCTAACATAAGCACTAGAGTCCCTATAAAGAGACTCCAATGCCTGTATCAAGCCAGCGCTCAACCCAAATGAGTTCAGTGTTTGCCATAGCAAATCCCTATCCACTCTGTCATAGGCCTTTTCCAAGTCCATGAACGCACAAAAAACCTTTTGGTTTTTGTCCAGAAACTTCTCCGCGATCATGCGCATGGAAAAGACTTGATCTGTACATCCCATTCCTTTTCTAAATCCCGCTTGCACATCCCAAATTTTTCCATCAGTTTCTTTCATGACCCTTTCAATCAGATGAAAGGGCACCTTAGCATACAGTTTTCCCACAATGCTAAGAAGGCTGATGCCACGGTAGTTTTTACAGTCCTGCTGCGACCCTCTTCCTTTATATACTGGGACTATCACGGTGCAGTCTACCGGTACCCGCTTCAGTTCCCAGCATAAATTAAACAAGGTGTGCAGCAGGCCTGCCACCACTTCCTCTCCAGCCCTTAGCATTTCGAGTGAAACTCTATCATATCCGGCAGCCTTACCTGCTTTCATGCTTTTCATTGCTTTCATTATTTCATCTATACTTATCTCGCTACCTCTTTCTTCTTCTTTCGGTGTTTCTACTTCACTTAGTACACACGTTGTCTCCTTACTCATAAACACGCTTTCAAAATATTCCTTCCATCTCTTTAAACTCAAAACTTCATCATTCAGAATATAGCCATTCTCGTCTCTTATAGCATTCATCATAGGCTGTTTTGAATGTCCCCTGGCAGTTCTTACAAGTTTCCAGAACATTTTAATATTTGCCTGGAAGTTATCGGATATTCTTCTATCATTCTTATCCGTTCTTTCTTGCTTTTTTCTTTCAACTACTTCTTTTACTCTCTTATTAAGATGTCTAAAGACTGCCTTTTTTCTTTCAATATCACCATTCGTAGCACTAGAATTAGCAGCCTTTGTTGCTAGTAAATCTAGCCAAGCTCTCTTCTTTGCTTCAACTTCCATACGTATCTCATCATCCCACCATAACGTATTATTTTTCCTTTCATTCTTTCTCTTACTAACAACACATACTTCGGTAGCTGCATCCACTAAGCCTTTCTTTACATTTTGCCATATATTCTCCAAGTCTAACTCCTTCATACATAATTCATCCAAACCACTTATATTTTCTTTCAGTCTACATTTGAACTTGTTTTTATCACTTTCATCTTGTAACCTTTCTGTTCTAATACGCTGTAACGCAGGACAGGTAGACACAGACGATCGATGGCGCCAACGCCTGAATAGACAATTAATTCGGCATTTTTTACAATAAAATATAGATAATTTGTGATATAACTTTTATGGTGGATCTTAAAAATAACAAAATATCTGCTATTTATTCTTTAATTCATTAAATTATAAAATTGTATTCTTGTTCATGTGAGAATAAATAAGTTAACCTAAAAACCTACTTTACTTAACAGTCCAATAGAACATGTACGGAAACGATGGGAGTTTCCTCGCAAATAAAACTTCTATTCCATTCTATTAAGTGTGCACATTCACGGCACAAATAAAATCAAATGTAATTTAGCGTTTTTATCAAAGCTCACTGACAGAGAACTGAAGACTTTTTTTAATTCTCTCTAGCACAGTGCTGCCAACCAGTCAATGTAAATTTCTTGATTCCAATTAAGGGATTGACAGCTACCAACTAGTGCAACCAACAGGTTTAATATGATAGTTATAATATTAATAGTAATAGCTGGTTGTCATTAAGCATAGATTATTTGTTTTATGAAAATACATCGATACATCGAGTATATCAGTAACTTTCCAAAACATCGAATTGCTTCGATGCATCGTATTCTAAACATCGAGTGAATTCGATGCAACGATTTATATCGATTATCGAATATCCCTAATCGTAAACACAAGCAATTATATTAACCGCGAACCCGCGAACCCGAACGCGAATACGAAACAATGTAAATAATGTGTACTATCAGTTACTTTATCAATAACATGTGTTGTAATAATACGTAACAATACGATTTTATAGTTGTATGATAATGGATTTATTTGCACAAATGAACGAAAGACATGGATAGCGATGATCCGAGGATACCACTTCTAGGTAAGTATGCATTTCACAAAGTAAATGCATCGTTTTAGTTTTAAATTTTGATAAAATGTTTACTGTATTTAAACCTTCGATTAGGAAATTAGTTTTCTTTGTCAGTCTAGCCTTGATTTGTTTTACAATTATACATTTTCACAAATGACTCACATGTCAAATCCTTTGTTAGAAACAATGACAAACAAATATTTGGCAAACAGCTGATGAAGAAACTTATAAGACGATATTAAATAAAGCCTTTTATGTATGTTATTTTCAGTTAGCTCTTTTACTATCTTCTATTTGTTGCAGCATGATAAAATATGTAATTGTTTCACAAATCATAAAATAAAATATAGCTTTTGGCCTGTTTCTAGTCTGAAACTACAAGTGTTACTAGATCAACTTAGATGTTATTGTCTTACATGTTATAGTATTTTCATCATAAGCCTGATCTGTGTATATAAGATAAATTTTTAATGATTCTTTAACCTCTTTGAATTTTTACTGAATAAGGTTTGGTCTAATTTTATATAAAGGATAAAATTAGCACACAGCTTATTTTAGTAAGTGCCGTTGCTCATAGACACCTACATTCAACCTTAATTATGGATCAATATATATAAATGTAAATAATATTACTCCTTTTTGCCTAGGAGTTTGTCTGGTGAGGTAACATGCCTCATAGGCTTTTCGGGCACCCAAACAGCAGTGCTTCCTATGCTGTGTTCATGTCAGTGCATTGAGAGCCAGTACAATTATAGGCTGTGACACATACCATATTAGTTTTCAAGAACTATCTTGTGATTATTGACATCATAAAAAAATCATGATTTTATACTGATGTTCTCTGAAAGTGTGGACCTTTTTTAGTTTTGCTGACCCATTTGACATCATAAAGATATGAGGCTCATGTTATGCATAAAACTTGTTTTTAATTGGCCACTGATGGCTCCGTGGCGCAGTAGCTTAGCAATGAGTTATAGCACTGAGGGCCGCGGGTTCGAATCCCGCATGGAGTAAGTATTTGTACGGCCTACAAGTAATTGTTCCGGGTCTGGATGTTTGTCCTTGTGCAATTTATGTATGTAAACTGCCTCCACAATACGTAAGAAAAATTGAATTAGAAGTGAATTAAATACAAAATAAAAAAAATTGGCCACTCAGTCTGGTAAACTCCTTTTTTAGGGTTATCAGGATTAAGGTTTAAGTGTAATCAGCTTTTGTATAAAAAGTTGTAACTTCTACTTTAATCCTTAGCTGCATTATGTTACCTATTTAATGAATTAATAAGGTAAGTAAAGAAATCAGGAGATAGGCAGCAATATTTTCCTAATACCGATTAAAAATATTAAAACTGCAGTTGCCAATCTGCTTGCCATGCAGTGACTATGGCAAATATCCCATCTATGAGGCAATCTATGGGGCAGGCCTATGTTCAGCAGTGGACTTATAATAGCCTGTCACGGTACGGTGGTCGGAAGCCTGCTTGCTCTATTGGTTGGTTTCTGTCTATGTCTGGGGCTCTTCTACTTAGGATTATCGATGAGAACAATTTGTAGATTGAAGATAGTAAACTAATTGGTCTATAATTGTTGATGTCAAGTGGATTTCCTTTTTTATAGAGCAGTATTATGTTTGAGCTGCACCATTGTTTTGGTATTTGTTCTTGTTGTATGATTAAGTTGAATAGTTTCGTCAGGTAGCTTACTAGAATTGGTGACCCAAGTTTTAGAGCTTCATTTGTGATTTTATCTGGCCCTGAGTTTTTTCAGACTTAAGTCTTTTTACATGCCTTTCTATTTCCATATAAAAGTTCAAAGGGAGCCCTAAAAGAGCTGTCAACGCATAAAACTTGGATACAAGGTCTACAAGATGGAAAAGACGAAACAAGAAACAGAGAAAATAAAGCGCGCAACTAAATAGAAAGGCTATTCATGATTATGTGCTGATAACTGTTCAAGAAATGATAATAGTGTGGCTTTGTGATCGGTGTCTTTGACTTTATCGTTGTGAGACCTTATCAAAATGGAACTTTAGATTGATTCAATCATGAACATCTAATTTAAGAAGTATATACGGTGGTGGCCTGCTACATTTTAAGTTATTCTATGAATGCAGTGGAGTATAACTTCTCAAAAGAATTGATAGTAGTAAAACATAGTGATTATATACTTTTTGGTAATTTTTGGCTAGTAGACCGAATTGATCAATGAAAACCCTTTATTTTTCAATGAATGAAAATGAAATCATAATTTCCTTTGTCAAATGTCTATTTTAATTTTTTTTGTAAAACGGGATAACTCTGTTGGTAGAAGAAACGGCGAAAAAAACTTCGCAGTTATACTCTTTTTTAATTTTTACATTCCCCATACAGGTATAATTGATAGAATTTACTCAAAAATTCCTATCTTACAAGCCCAGTATGATAGGGTCCCAAAACAATTTGTATTCGATAAAAAGTACAGGGTACAATTGAAGGAAACTGATCATCTGGAAGGATTGGGTCCAAAAGAGCTCAAAGTTTTCACTTATGGTTCTAAGACAAATGAAGGTGTGGGGTCTGGGGCTTTCTCTGAAGACCTTAATATCCACATGTGCACACCGCTGGGTACCCATAACACAGTCTTCCAGGCTGAATGCATGGGTATCATCCAAGCGGCCATAGCAATAGATGCTAGGAAGATGAAAGACTTCTCCATCAGAATACTGACCGACAGTATGGCGGTACTACAAGCTGTGAGTTGCAATGTGGCGAACTCGGGACTGATATATGTATAAGTGCCATCAACGATTGAATGTAAGCACAACAATGTGACTCTGCAATGGATCAAGGGACACAGTGGATCTAGAGGCAACGATCACCGATCCCCTTCTGGCCAGTTTATCTGCTGCAGATGAACTGGCCAGAAGTGGATTGGCTCTGGCAACTATAGGGCCGGAACCTATAATACTAAGCCCCTTTGGCTACGTTCGTTCACTGGTACGTAGATACTTCAATAATTTACACGCTCAGCTTTGGAAAATTTTTGTAGACTAGACAAGCTAGCCCATGCCTGAAATAAACAGTCGTCTTGCAACATCAAGGGACTGTGGAACTTCTTCGGGGAAATATCATGGCTCGTATAACCACATTATTCCTGCCCACACGCAAAATACGCGCTTAGACGTGGAGTTGCGGAAAACAGCCCTTTGTAAACTAAACTAAACACTCTTGAAGAAACGGTGAAAGAAACTTCGCATTTATACTCTTTTTTAATTTTTTAACACTAAGTTGTAGACCCACGTTGCAGCTGTATTATAGTTATAGCGTGAATGGGTCCACATTCACAATACCAGCGTAAAATAGCAGCTTAATGCTGCTGTGTTTCGTATGGTGAGTGTAGAGAACAGGAGGCCCTTTTTACTCGAAACAAGGCATTCCATCTTAGTACTCCGATGTGGCAACGCATGTACATTGTGATTCTTAATTGAAGATAAATGTAGATGTTTATGGCCTACAGCATCCACTTACTATCACTGGACTGTGTGTTCGTTTGTCACAACCATTTTAATTAATTATTTAAAAAAATAAAGCTAATGATACAATATCATTAATAAAAATGAAAAGGAATAGACCCATCGGTAATCACAGCGTGCTTCAAAAATGAAATAGCATATCGAAAAACATGCGAAATTAAAGCTAATAGATGTCATATTCGAAATAAATATTTAGTTGGTAAAAACTTGATATCCGTCGAAATTTTGTATTTTGATTTTCGTAATAGTCCCTGGGCTTGAATCCTTAGAGCCAGCATCTTGCTAAAACAAATGACGCAAGTAACACGGGTTTAATAATTGGCGGCACCCAAATTGTGCATCTAATTTTAATTGTATGCTAGGCTGTGAAAGAAAACGTGAGAAAACATCAGAATGATGTTCACAGTTACCATTACATCCCATCAAAAAGTCACTGCTTCCCGCATAGATTTTTTCATATGGGGTATATTTGCCACAGTTGCCACGCTCAGCAGGCGCTAACCACAGTTCTTTGTGTTTATTAGGACGACGCTGCTGTCTATCTCCTAGTTTTTTTTTTTTGCCTTCTCGTTAAGTGTATTGAAGCGAGCGAGCTGTCCCTTGAGTTTGATATCCGCTTTCTTCATATTGAGGCTTTTTAGACGTTTTGAATTAATTTATTAACTTTTCACTTTGAAAATTAATAATACCTTAAAATATTCGTTAAGGTTTCTCTAAATAACTTTCAAAATATATGATTAATCAACTCTAGACCATACATACAATTTCAGGGATAATCTTTGCAGTGGCTAAAGTGACTGATGTGATGAAACTTAAGTAAACTAATAAAATAAATGGTCTTCTTCACATTAATAGATTCTATCCAGGCGAAACCAGTGTTGACCGCATGGTCAACAGCTGTAAGCGCTGCTGTCGACCATGCGGTCCCGTGTTCGTATTCTGGGTCGGGACAAAATCAGCTATTGGCTTTTTCTGTCAAGACATCCTCTTTTAGTCTTCCTATGCACAACTCGTACACCTTTTATCTTATAGGCCCACTTTTTCTAAAGGCTTTTACTATGACGTGGGTCGGTAGGGATTGTTGTGGTTCATATTTTCAACACATTTTGTGTAATTAAATTTGAAGGTGGGTAATGTTTTATTATTGAAAGGTAGTTTCGCACACTGGGTAAACCATAACATAGTTCATGCCAATACCAGTTGTGATTTATTGGAGATCTTTTTTTTATAGATTTAAGGTGACAAACGAGTACCTGATGGTAAGTGGATGCTGTGGCCCAAGTACATCTACATTTATCCACGATTAAGAATCAAAACGCAGATGCGTTGTCACCCATGAGGACTAATATGGAATGCCTCGTTTCCAGTAAAAAAGGGTCTCTGTATCACTACACTCATCATACGAAACACAGCAGTATTAAGTTGCTATTTTACGCTTGTATTGCGTATATTTTATAATGTCTGTTTTATCAGCCATATTGGCTGTTTTATACGTGGCT